TTAGCCAAGTAGCTTTGCATATACATTAGTAGATTCTCTTTATAGCTTAGCATAGGCCTATGTAACAGATAGCTCAGTCATTAGCCTGTTAGCTGAGCACATAACTAGTTGATTAGTCTGCTCAATTACCACACAGTTAGTGTTGTTGTTCTGTTTTACCAGTTAGTTTGTAAGATAAGCAAGTGCATCAAGTTGTAAGCTAACTTGTTAACCAACTAGCTTTGCATATACATTCAGTGGATTCCATTTATAGCTTAGCATACAGCTAATTGATTAGACTGTTAGTATAAAATCTAGCTAACTCATTGGCCTGCTTGCTTAACACATGGCTAGCTAATTAAACTGCTTGTTTAATATTGCATTAGTTGATTAGCTGCATCAACAACTAACAAAAATGCTATATTGTTAATATAGAAGAAGAATGTTCAAATTTAACACTCACTGTCCTGTTTTATCAGCTTCTAAGTTAAGCAAGTGTAATTTGTAAACTAACTAGTTGTTACCTTAACATTAAGTTAACTCATTTGCCTGTTAACTTAGCACAATGCTAACTGATTAGACCGTTAGATTAGCATACATTTAGCTTGCTAACATAGATTAGGGTGACCATACGTGCCATTTTTCCCGGACGCGTCCTTGCCAGGATTTGTTTTGGCTTTGTTTTCCTGTTTTCATGCTTGCTGAAGGTAATGATCGAAAAGTAGTAATGGACCAATCATGGTGTGTGTGAGAAGGTGGGATTTACGGTCAAAGCGATGCATTTACGCGTACATAGGATGTGTGTTCGACTTAAAAGCAGCGCGGCTCAGATCGATCAGTGTTTGACATCAAAATACCTCGAGAGCATTTTGAAAGCATAAGGAACCGTCTGTATGGTATTTTGATGTCATACACGATGTACACACGCAAACAAAGCCAAAACCTAGATATTTTAGGCAATATAGAAATCCTGGCCAGGACGCGTCCAGGAAAAAGGGCATGTATGTCACCCTAACATAGATCCCAGAAACAATTACAAAAACGCTATTTTGATCATATTGAAGACAAAAATAATAAATTCCGATTAAAATTCATCCAGATTATGTTATAACTACCTTCCTAGTCTGATTGGTTGGTTTTACACACACGTTCTTACTAGTCGGCCAGTAACAAAGTCTTTCTTCTAACTTCAAGTCATCTAACTGCATTATATATTGCATATTATGTAACGTTAGCTATAAATGTCAAATGTAACACTTGATGTCCTGTTTTATCAGTTATTTTGTAAGATAAGCAAGTGCATCAACTTGTGAGCTAACTAGCCAGTTAGCTTTGCATACAGCCAGTTGATTAGCTTTCTATCTCAGAATACAGCTAATTAGCATGTTAGCTTGGCATCTAGCTAACTCATTAGCCTGCTTGCTTAACACTCGCTAGCTGATTAGACTGTAAAATTAACATATTAGCCGATTAACCTGCTAATATAACTACCACAGGTACCAACAACTAACAAAAATATTGTTTTGATTATATAGACGGTGAAATTCATGAATTCTGATTCAAACTAAAACATTATATTTCTCAAGTAATGACCTCAAATGCATCAACGTCCTCAGTACATGCTGAGCCGTGACATTTGCTGCGGCGTAAACAAGTCAAAGATGCGTTAGCACACAGCTGAGCCGTGACAGTGCTTTAGCAAATGTGTTTTGCAAGCCACACAGATTTCCTTCCTCCTGAATTAAAGACACTTTAGACTTTCTCTCTCCAGCTGTGATTGAAAGACATTTCTCTGTCATCATCTGACAGGCCTGAGCTTCAGCACACAACGCCTTCTGCTGACAGTGCAGCGCTTGTCAACCGCGCACACGCCCGTGCGCTAACGCTCCGCCAATCAAACGCAGCTTTGATCCCATTTTATAATTCAGAAGATGCTTTTCAACACTAGAACTTAAACAGAAGTGTTTCCATCACCTTCCCATGTGGGACAAAGCTTACGCAAGTCATAGTCTGAACTGAATCTGAATGAAATACTTTTTGGTTAACGTAGCACCTTTAGCCCCTGCTGGCAGATGCTGTAACTACAATGTGAGTTACATTGAAAAATCATCTTTTTTCCATTGACAGCCATTCAGTAAGTGAACTGGGAAGAGATCTTGATGTAACAAGAGCACAGTGAAGCTGAAGTCAAAACAGTAAGACAGTAGCAGAGTTAAAAAAATAAATAAATGAAAAACTCACTTTCCCAACAGTCAATCTATCCGCCATTCGTCAGTCACAAAAAAATAAAAATAAAAATAAAAAAAGCCCCGCCCCAAACTCAAGCCAATGGTTAAGCCAATCTTGCTGGATACAAATCATGCACCTATTGGTTTATGCTGCAACTACACCATTCTGGGGGAAAAAGACATTTCTACATTGACACCCATTCTAAACTAGATTTGTGAGATTCTAGTGCGTTATACATATGCAAATATAATACACTGCCCGTCCAAAAAAAAAAAGTCACACACTGTAATATTTCATTAGACCACCTTTAGCATTGATTACGGCACGCATTCGCTGTGGCATCAAGTTTTGATAAGCTTCTGCAATGCCACAACATTTATTCCCGTCCAGAGTTCTTTCAGAGTTTTCGCCAAGATCTTGTATTGATGATGGGAGAGTCGGACCGCTGCACAAAGTCTTCTCCAGCACCTCCCAAAGATTCTCAATTGGGTTAAGGTCTGGACTCTGTGGATGCCAATCCATGTGTGAAAAGGATGGCTCATGCTCCCTGAACCACTCTTTCACAATTTGAGCCCGATGAATCCTGGCATTGCCATCTTGGAATATGCCCGAGCCATCAGGGAAGAAAAAATCCATTGATGGAATAACCTGGTCATTCAGTATATTCAGGAAGTCAGCTGACCTCATTCTTAGGGCACATAACATTGCTGATCTTAGACCTGACCAACTGCAGCAACCCCAGATCATAGCACTGCCCCAACAGGCTTGTAGGGTAGGCATTAGGCATGATGGGTGCATCACTTCATCTGCCTCTCTTCTTACCCTGATGCGCCCATCACTCTGGAACAAGGTAAATCTGGACTCATCAGACCACATGACCTTCTTCCATTGATACAGAGTCCAATCTTTATGCTCCCTAGCAAATCGAAGCCTTTTTTTTCCCGATTAGCCTCACTGATAAGTGGTTTTCTTAAGGCTACACAGCTGTTTAGTTTCAATCCCTTGAGGTCCCCTCGCATTGTGCGTGTGGAAATGCTCTTACTTTCACTATTAAACATAGCCGTGAGTTCTTACTGTTGTTTTTTTACGATTTGATTTGAAGTGATCGCCGATCACGATCATTCAAGTTTTTTTTTCCGACCACATTTCTTCCTCGAAGGTGATGGTTCCCCACTATCCTTCCAGTTTTTAATAATGCGTTGGACAGTTCTTAACCCAATTTTAGTAGTTTCAGCAATCTCCTTAGATGTTTTCTTTGCTTGATGCATGCCAATAATTTGACCCTTCTGAAACAGATTAACATCTTTTCCACGACCACAGGATGTGTCTTCCGACATGGTTGTTTAAGAAATGAGAAGCTACTCATTGCATCAGTTAGGATTAAATAACTTGTTGCCAGCTGAAACATAATCATCCATGCAGTAATTATCCAATGGGAGGCTCTTACCTATCTGCTTGGTTAAATCCAGGTGGTGACTTTTTTTGTTTTGGACGGGCAGTGTATAATAATATAATATAATATAATATAATATAATTTTAAATACATTTTATTATAAATTTCATGATATGGTACCTGTGGATCCAAAGAGATTACTCATATTTTGTAAGAAATTAACATAAAAATATCTTACGTTTAGCAAGCAAATTCAAGCAAGCAAATTCAAGGCTAATCATAATAATAATAAAAGTAATAAAAAATAACCAAATGGTTTTATTTCATGTTGGTACATTCTTGGACAACACCACAGTATAGTTGCATGAGTGGCCAAACATAAAAGTCTTCCACAATATCAGCACATAAGCAGCAAGGGCAACATGAATATACTTAGTACAAACAGTATAAAACATACATGCTTTTTTTTCATATTTTTTAAATATATATTCATATCTTTTGCACAATTTCTCCATAGGTTCCAGGGCAGTTAAAAATTCCAAGACAAATTAAAGCCATATTCTGCCTTGAGTGGGTGAATGTCTGAGAAATTCATGAAGGCAAAAAGAGAGAAATCAATAAAGGCTTGTAAAATCATCCGTAAACAGGCCATTGTGAGAGAACTGTGGTGAAAGTTTCATTGACTTCAACATCAAACATATCAAGCATGCATTGACAACTGCTACGTGAACACTTTCTTTAAAAAGAATTCTGAAACACCATCGATCACCGGGGTTTAGTCACTGTAAAACCAATGCAACATCTCTCAAAGTCACTAAAAACACAGTCGATGGTCTACGAACCCTTACAAACATGGTGGGAATGTCGAAAAATGTGACACGTTTATCATGTTAAAGGGCGAAAACCAACGCAAATCCTCAAAATAAAGAGACAATATTCCAGGAATGGGATCTCAAAGAGAAGAATATGGCTTTAAATACAATGTGCATCCAGAAAAGGCAAGGAAAACCAAAGAAGAAATGCTCAACTGAAACGTAAAAACAGCCAAACGAAACCAAAATGCTGAAAGAAGCACACAAATTTGCACGGAAAATCCCAAAAACTTGCAGTTTGGAAGTACATGTAAAGATGAGGAGGACCTTGAGGCCCAGCATTCCAAAGCCAGTGCCCTGAAGAAAGTCTGTGATGGAGTGTCAGAAGAAACGCCTTGTCAAAGGTCTATCACGCCAAGTGCAACCTCAATCGTTTGACTGACAAGGAATCAGTCGTTTTGTGCCGCTGTTACACCCCATCAGTTTTCTCCATCAGAAAAAAAAAAACAACAACTAAATTTAATTCCTTCGCTTGTAATTCCTGTTACTTTTTTGTAGATGTCAGGTTATTTTTTGGATTTTTTTTGGGGTGGTTTTGCTGTTTTATGTGTTGGAAATCAACTGATATCCTCTGTCGTTGGTTTAGCTTTGGGCCCAATCACTGTCCTGGCCTTCGGACGAAATAAGGATGAAAACGGAAGGACACCGAAAGGTTTTTCCTGCTTTACTTTTGTTCCAAAGAGCCGAGAGAAACCAGGAAGTGCCATCGATCACCTTCCTCCTGTGATGGAGGCCCTCAGATCACAAGGTCATTGTAGCTCACATATTTCTTCTTAGCAGCCGGACCTGCGAGGAGAGAAAGATGAAAGATTGTTTTTCATTTGACATTTCTTCCTTTTTTCTTGCTGAAAATGAGAGGAATTCATTGATTCCTGTCAGGAGGCCTGACAGGGACACTTTTTGGGACACTTTTTAGGACATGAAGTTTGTCAGTATGGAACAGAAAACGTCCACAAACTGACTATTAAAAGGACAGTTCACCCAAAACTGAAAATTACCCCATGATTTACTCACCCTCAAGCCATACAGTCTTAAAAATAAAGGTGCTTCACGATGCCACAGAAGAACCTTTTTGTCTAAATGGTACCATAAAGAACTTTTAACATCTGAAGAACCTTTCTGTTTCACAAAAGGTTCTTTGTGGCGAAAGAAGGTTCTTCAGATTACAAAAAAGTATAAAAGAGATGGTTCTTTAAAGAACCTTTGACAGAATGGTTCGTTGTGGAACCAAAAATGGTTCTTCTATGGCATCGCTTGAAGAACCTTTTGAAGCACCTTTATTTTTAAGAGTGTAGGTGTATATGACTTTCTTCTTTCAGACGAATACAATCAGAGTTATATTAAAAAATGTCCTGGCTCTTCCAAGCTTTATAATGGCAGTGAATGGGGGTTGAGATATTGAAGGCCAAAAAAGTGCCTTCATCCATCATAAAAAGTGCTTCACACAGCTCCGGTGGGGTAATAAAGCATCCTGAAGTGAATAGATGTATTTGTGTAAGAAAAATATCCATATGTAAAACTTTATAAACCGTAATCTCTAGCTTACGTTTAAAAGTCGTACACACGTTCACGAGAAAGTGGCGTTCCAGCTTGGGCTGCCCCCTAATAATCAACTAACTGTTAGTCGACCAGAAGAGAGGCTTGGTCGACCAAAACTGTATTAGTCACTTAGTCGCAGAAAAAAAAATTCCTCATGCGCAGTCCGTGACGGACAGATTGTTAACGGCTGGTCTATGTGGCAATACAGTACATCGGGCAGGACATCCAAACGCTCGCCTATTATTCATCGACCTCAAATAAGACTTATCATCTGAAATATGTATTAGCAACTTTACATGGCCGCTCAATCTGATGTTAACCTAGAAATGTGCGCTATTGAAGTGTCGGAGAGTGGAAGCTGAACAGTAGCGCACTCACTGCATGACAGATGGAGGCGCTAAAATACTCCGTCATTTCTGGTCATACAGATAAGAGTAATTCATCAACCGAATCTGTAAAGACTCTACGTTTATTTGTGTGTACTCACAATAACAACGAAATGTTGCGCTTTTGTAAAATAATGAAAGCAAAACGTGTTTTCTGCCATCTCGGTCTCTGTGAACTTGAGCGCAAAACTCAGAAACTCTGTGTATCTCCACCGTACAGATATGAAAACATATCTATAGAAAGCGAAATGTCTAATTTCAAATGAACCATTCAAATGGAAAACGCATATTCTCAGATTAGGCTAATTCATATGAAAAATGCATATGCGTCCACTGCAGAGATGATGAGTCAGTGTCGCCGACTTCATCTCTTAAGCTGAAAACAAAGAAAGCACTAGTTTATCAATGATTTATTAAAATGTTAATGCAGCCTCCTTACTGTTTTTCCCTGACACATTCATAATCATTACTTCTGCGGTGTGCTGTGGCAAGCTTTAAGTGTGCACTTGAGCGCTTATAGGCTATGCAGGCAATTAAAGGAGATTTAAATGGTTTATTAATAAATGTGTGATTAGTCGACTAATGCTTAAAATGAGCGACTACTAGTCAACCAGAAAAATCTTTAGTCGAGGGCAGCCCTAGTTCCAGCAGATGACGTATGACGTAGGTGTAGTGTAAGCTCCAGTGAGATATGTTGCAAGCAGAAGAACAGTGGAGAGAGCAAAACAAAACAGCAGTCACCACCAAATTATAAGTACAAAATGAGGATTTGTAAAGAAAAATGTCAAAGGATTTCAAAATAAGTCAAGAGGAGACTTGCTGTAAACAAAACTTGGTTCCCGCCAGACTGGTATATTCTCACCAGAGCTTAGGCTACGATAACGTCCTATGTCATCCGCTGGAATGCCACTCTCTCGTGAATGTGCGTAGCAGTTAGCAGAAGCTAGAGATTGCGGTTTATAAAGTTTAAAATATGGATTTTGTATTTCTTACACAAATGCATCGATTCGCTTCAGAAGGCCTTCTAACCCCTGGATCCGCATGGAGCACTTTTTATTATGGATGGATGCATTTTTTGGGGCTTCAAAATCTCGACCCCCATTCACTGCCATTATGAAGCTTGGAAGAGCCAGGACATTTTAATGTAACTGATTATATTTGTATGAAAGAAGAAAAGTCATATATTATAAGAAGGTTGTTAGGATGTTCTATGTGGTTTCCAGGCTGTTCTGGGTAGTTTCTAGGTTATTGTAAGTGGTTACTATGGTGTTCTGGGTGGTTGCTAGGATATTCCAAGTGAGATGCTTGGTTGTTATATATGTTTGTAATTGATAAAAGATTGCTAGGGTGTTCTATATGGTTTCCGGGCTGTTCTGGGTAGTTGCTAGCATGTTTTGAGAGGTTGCTAGGTGGTTGCAAGGTTGTTCAGAGTGGTTGCTTGGATGCTTTGAGAGGCTTATAGGTGGTTGCTAGGGTGTTCTAGGTGGTTACTATTGTGTAGTTGCTAAAGTTTTGAGAGACTGACAAACGATTACTAGTGTGTTTTGGGTGATTTATACAAATGGTTGCTAGGGTGTTCTGAATGGTTACTATGATGTTCTATGTGGGTGCTTGTTCTGGGTAAATTTCTAGGGTATCTTGAGATGTTTCGTGTGTGCTCTGAGTGTTTGCTAGAGTGAAAAGTTGCTAGGTGGTTGCTATGGTGTTGTGAGGGTGTTCTAGGTAGTTTGCAGGGTGTTCTGGGTAGTGGCTAGGGTGTTTTTATGAGATTGCAAGGATGTTCTAAATTGGCTGCTTGAGTGTTCTGAATGGTTTCTAGGATATGTTAAGAGATTGCTGGGTGGTTGCTAGGATGTTCTGAGTGTGATGCTTGTATGGGTATTCTTGGTGGTTTCTAGGGTGTTCTGAGCAGTTGCTAGTGTGATCTGGGTGGTTTCTAGGGTGTTCCGATCAGTTGCTATAGTGCTCTGGATGGTTTCTAGGGTGTTCTGGGTGGTTTCTAGGGCATTGCGCTATGTAGTTACATGCAGTACTTAATACTTTAATATCAACGGTATAGGGGAAACTGAAAAATCCCTAACCCAAGTCTGAGCAAGTTAAACTCACATAAATGTAAATAACTGTATTTATTATTTTATGAGAGAGCAACACAAAATTAAAAAGCAGATGAATATGGCATAAATCTTATGTAAGAAACCCTCAAATGTCTACAGTCATAACAGCGTGACCTTCACACGCTGCCGCTGATGTGTTTGCAGAGACTCTATGTAACTAAACGACTCCAGTCTCAAATTACAGTGCTTATTCATGGTTGCTTCTTGTGCTCTTTTGCATGTAAATGAACTTCTAAATATTTAAAAGTAAAGGTTACCAAGTAGAGAGATCATTGTGGCCTTTAAGTGTCAGTAGCCCCTTTAGTATTTGAGTTAAATGTCACTCCGACATCCATCTATTCAGAAATGTGGCCTTGACTAATGTTGATTGAGGAAAGTGCTCTCAATATGCAAAAAAAAAACTTAAATACATTATAATACACATAATAGGAGTCAGAAGGAATAACTAGAGGTTGCTAGTGTTTTGAGGAGTTCATATAAGGTTGCTATGGTGTTTCTGGTGATTACTGGGATGTTCTGGGTGGTTGCTAGAGTGTTCTGAATGGTTTCTATGATGTTTTATGTGGAAGTTTGTATTGGGTCGTTCCTGGGGTGTCTTGCCAGGTTTCTAGGGTGTTCAGAGGGGTTGCTAGGGTGTTTTATGATATTGCTAGGTTCTAATTGTGTGATTTGGTGTTTTGGGTGGTTGCTAAGATATTTTGCGAGGTTGGTAGGATTTCTAAGTGGTCGCTAGTGTTTAGAAAGGTTGACAGAAGGTTACTAGGGTGTTCCTGTTGGTTACTAGGATGTTCTGGGTGGTTGCTAAAGTGTTCTGAATGGTTTCTATGATATTCTATGTGGGAGTTTGTTTTGAGTCATTCCTGGGGTGTCTTGACAGGTGTCTAGGGTGTTCAGAGTGGTTGCTAGGGTGTTTTATGATGTTGCTAGGTTCTAATTGGGTACTTGGGTGGTTGCTAAGATATTTTGAGAGGTTGCTAGGATTTCTAAGTGGTTGATAGTGTTTAGAGAGGTTGACCGAATGTTGCTAGGGTGTTACTGGTGGTTACTAGGGTGTTCTGGGTGGTTGCTACAATGTTCTATGTAGGTGCATGTTCTTGGCAGTTTCTAGGGTGTCTTGAGAGGTTGCTAGGTTGTTCTGAGTGGTTGCTAGGTGGTTGCTTGGGTGTTTTAGGTGATTTACAGGGTGTTTTGGGGTATTTGCTAGGGTGTTTTGAGAGGTTAGTAGGTGGTACTGAATGGTTGCTAGGGTGTTCTATGTGGTCAGTATGGTGTTCTGAGTGGTTGCTAGTGTTTTGAGAGGTTGATAGAAAGTTGCTAGGGTGTTCTGAATGGTTGTTACAATGTTCTATGAAGGAACTTGTTCTGGGTGTTTCCTAGGGTGTTCCGTGTGGTTGCTAGGGTGCTTTACAAGATTGCTAGGTGTAAGGGTGATCTAGTCTATACACACACCTGTATTATACCGAATAAATACAGTTTTTTGGACTATTTCCTTACATTTGACACATACATCTGAGAATGATCGAAAACGATTAGGGAGGCAGACAGAAGATGGGACCAAGTTTATTGAAGGTAACTGTATTCTCCTGTAAAATAAAGGTGATGTGACCCCTTTTAAAGATCTTATTTGTCCCAGCATATTACAGCTTTTCACATTCCTTCACATAATCAAAGTTCAGCCAGAAGCCATTACGATTCCCCTGACCCACTGCAGTACATCCTTACTGCACGGCACACTATAAACGTCTTA